AAACCTGTACGAAAAAAATACTATGGAAGTCATGGGTGCCGTTAACCGTCTGGTTATCAACATTCTTTAAAATATCTTCTTCTGTGTTTAACAGAAGAAAGAAACTCGTATAGGTTTGGAACGACATGAGGGTGAGTAAATGATGACAGAATTTTAATTTTTGGGTGAACTATTTAACTCTTCTGACTGAAACGTTACGCATTAAAACATTGTTTGAAAAAGTACGCAGTTTTATTTGTTATCTCAGGCCTTTGCATCTTGTCACACACAACAGAAAGGCATTAGCTACTGTGTTGGGGGAGGGTAACTGACTAGATGCAGTGTCTTATCAGTGCAAATGAGATAAAGGTGATTTGTCCAAACACTCACAGCGTTAGAAATGAACATTTAAAACTTTGTGGGTTCACCTCATAACAGTGAATATCCCTTCACGCAAATAATCACAAAAATTTGCTTTTAGAAAGCTAAAATGCACTGGGTAATGTTTAGTTTCTATTAGCTACTCGAATCACAAAAAGCCTAAAAGCTCTTTTGACCCAGGGTTAAAACATTACAGCAAATTGTTAAAATACAGCAATAAATGATCATTACATATTCATGGTGCTTTCAAATAGAAAATTTCATCATTATAGGTTTTGTTCGTTTTCAGTTTTATTAGCCATTCATGGTGGGCCTTGGTTAACACTGACAAAGAGAGAGACATCTGTGTTCTGTCTAATTAGGGGAGGGTTATATCTGTAACTGATAATTGCCTGGAGAAGGAGTTAGCACCCCGTGGCAGGACTACTTTCCTCGCAACACCTAGAGACAGAGCTTGAGGATGTGTTAGCACACTTAGCATATGGAGGAAGTTTGGTGACAGCTATGACACTTTTTGGGGGACAGGGAAGCATGTGAGAACACAATCCTCGGGTGAGGGATTTCTCAGTGTGTGTGCTGTCGGGTCAGTCTAGTGTCCTGTGTGACTTCCAGCACCCGTGTGTGGCGTAACGTCCTGTGTGACTGACTTCTGTCGCCTACCACTGTTGCGCAGGTATTGATCAATCTCTGAGGCTTCACCCCAGAAGTGTGACATGCACAATAGTCTTTTTTTCCTCTCAGAATAGGCTCAGTTAATAAGTGTCAGCAGCATGTGTGTGGCTGTAAGTGGTGCTAATGTGCAGTAGCTCTCCTTGCTCACTGTAAAACAATGTCATGCTAATATAGATTAACAGGGCCTATCAAGACTATTAGTGGCTGACACTGGAAAAAGTGTTGAACAATTGATTTAAGTTAATGATTAATTTGCACTTAGTAAGGTTTGCCTGATAAGCTTTAGCTTAATTTACTTAAGCACTTACTCAAAGTAAAAAAAAAATTGGGATCTTAACCATTATATCCTACCTCTGCTATACCAGTAGAAAGGGGGTAAATTATGCATTTTACCTATTGATTTGTTCAAAAATGCATAAAAAATTAAATGTGTAAAAAAAAATATTTTAATATTTATTTGGGGGCATGGACTGTTCTGATGTCACAATAAAAAAATTTTTTTGAAAAGAAAACATTATTTAGTAGTTTGATAATCATTTATTATTATTTTAGAGATTTTTTTTCCCAACAAAATGCTCCACTGCTAATTAATATACAAAACCTCTTTGTCCGCTAAATCAAACTTTGATTATATCAAAGAGAGGACCCTTGTAAACTGTGTCAAAATCAATAAATCGGTTAAAATATCAGATAATTTGACTTTTTTATGTTGTGGGCTCACAAAAAAACTTGATTATTTTTTTACAATGAAAAAATATATCTAAAATAATAAATAATAATTAGATAACACATTAGAACACTGTTCTGTCTTTAATGAATAACTACACAGGAACAAATGAGGAACGCAATATTAATATTCTAATAGTAACAATAAACTATGATTAACAAATCCATAATACTTCTCAGTTGAATGCAGTAGTTCACTATTAACTAATCAATAATAACTACTATTATTTCATACCTCCCAGATACAGGTTCATAATTAATGTGAATAATGCATAATGTATAATTAGTTCTAAAGAAGATCATGGTAACCCACTAGTGATGACTCGAGTATCATCAAATCCTTCAGAATGAATTACTAATTATTTGTATCAGTTTACTAAAGTGAAAAGGCTGATCACTCCCTAATACTGACTGAAGTCATTGTAAGCATTTGAGGTTTTTGTAACATTTTGGATAGTAACTGCTTCTAAAGTTTTTACTTCAGAATTAATTATACATTATGCATTATTCACATTAATTTTGAATCTGTATTCTTAGTAGTCCTCTGGGAGGTATGGAAAAAATAGTAGTTATTGATTAGCTAATAGTGAACTACCTCATTCAACTGAGCACTACAACTTACATCAGTGTTTCTTGTATAGTAGTTACTAGAATGTTAATATTGCATTACTCATTTGTCCCTGTGTAGTTATACATTAATGATGGAACAGTATTATAAAGTGTTACCAATAATTATGTGGTAACACCATATTAAATTATCCACATGAATACAAAGACTATATCGCAAAGAACTTGGCACATGTGTTTTAAACAAGATGTTTTTTATTTATTTTTTATCATGGACACTCTTATATGTTTGTGACCCATAAACATCTTATGTGCTGTAAAGAATCATAAATTTTGATCATGGCTTAGCGAGCAGTTTGACTGTCTTGAAAAGCTGTAGAAAGGGGCAAGTCTGCTTTTGTTTCCCTCAACAGCTGTGAGACGCAATGTAGAGGGCCGTGCCTCATTAAAATAGGGTGTGAACGAGGGGGGTAGGGATGACATGGTGATTGGGTCTAACGCAAGGTTTCAGCCCTTAAAACAAGTGTTCTACTTCCTGTGAGAACACCCTGCTCCCTCAAGTGACTGTAGTATCTACCCATCCTAAACGTATGCTATTTGATTTTGGATGATTGTTTTTTAACACACAACAGACAACACCTGTTGTAAGCTTGGTTAAGCTCAGGGCTGCAGCCGGATATCTAATCCGAAATGGCCTTTTCTGCATCAAACCCTAGACTCTGCAGAATTAACTTGTGATGCGAGGCATCGGCTAATGAACATGAAGCATAGATTTAATCCCATTAGCCGGTGGTCGGATTGACCTCTGACATGCAGTCACTGGGTTATAATCTCTATCCCTCCCTTTCTCCTTTTTCTGCCATCCTAAGACAATTGATTCTCTTTTGTCTCTGTTCCTCGGCCTGTAAACAGGCAGCCTAAGCTTGCAAACAGGCATATTGCATGGGGAACATTGACTAATATGCACATATGGCATTGAGGCTCTTGACCTTCGACACAAATGCTAGCTATTGTTTTTGAGGATGGTATTGATTAAGTTCATATTTAACCAAGCCTCTGTCAGGAGAAATGCTTCGGCGAGCACATTAATTACTCGACAGACTGTGATCTGAATATTGATCAAAACAAAGCCTCAGATGCGCTAACAAGGCCTGAAGCAATTAATGCGTAGCAGAAACACTGCTATGGATTATTGAACAAAGTAAACAGAATGATTTAAGAATGCCAGCTCAAGCTGCCATTCTAGACAACAGAACACCTTCATCTTCTGTGAATTGAGCTGCCTGTGTGATATAGACTTTGCAGTGTCTGTTTGCTGAGAGGGTTATCAGGCCTTGAATTCATTAAGGCAGTGTTAGTACTTAAAGCAAGGAGTGTAAGGAGGGCTGCCCAAGAAAATCTTTTTGAATGGCAAAAAGAGCAAGATTATCAGTGAATAGCAACTCTTCCTTAAACATATGACTTCAAAAGACCTGGAATAGGGCATACGGATAGTTTACTGTGCTTTTTGGAGCTTGACAATCTTCTCATCCCTCATTCTTGTGTTCCACAGATAAAAAAGGTGAGTAAATGATGACAGTTTACATTTTTGGGAGAGTTCTTCCTTATATAATAAAGCAATACATGCATTAACCACTGCTAAAATTATTGGCTCCATTGCATTCAATTGTTTGTTTTTTCTCCGTCTCTGAGTCACGTTGAAAAAAGAACCTGCTAAATGAATAAACATAAATAATGTGAGTGTTTCTTTTTTCTACATTAGATGGGGGGCAAACAATGTAAAGCCACTGCATCAAATGGAACATACAAAATGATGAACTGCTGCCCTCTGCTGGATAAAACCAAGGGCAGAGAACACCATGAGCTACACCAAGAGGGCGGCTATGTTAAATTTGAACATAAAATCTATGACATAATGTCCAGTCAAAGTTGGCAATATGTCCCCATGCAATATGCCTGTTTGCTACTTATGCTGCCTGTTTACAGGTCAGAAAATTTGAATCAATTGTCCAAGGCCACCAGGTATAGGGGAATTATCACACTACGTCACACTGACGTCACCCAGGTGCAACTGCGCATGTCGGATGCAGAAGCTGGCCGCTGAAACAAACCCGGGAAAATGTCGTGTTGTGCAGTGGGTTGCCAGAATCGAAAATCTGTAAACAAAGGTCTGAGGTTTTACCGAATACCATCAACTCACACTCCTTTTAACGCCAACCGCAGACGTCTTTGGTTACAAGCCCTCAGAAGAATCGACTGGAACGACAACCTAATTAAAAACGCCCGACTCTGCAGTTCTCACTTCATATCAGGTAAGCTGCGCTAAATCACCCACATCATCACTCGATTTAGTTTACAACAAAAACTCTGATGTATTAAGTACACTTATCTAACAATAGAATAACGAACAATGTATGAGTTTGAGACTAGCTAGCTTAAATTACTAGCTAATTTAACGTTACCTTTGTTCAGTTGCGTTACGTTGTCTTGCTAGGTAACGTTAGTTAACCTGACAGTTAGCTAGCTGGTCTAGTATCTAGCAAATGTACTTAGTATTTGGCTAATAACGCGGTTATAGCGAACTCAGACTAAATTTAACTGTAACACTAACAGACCTAACTTTTTTGTACAGGAGAGGTGTCCGTGGACTTCAGTAGTCCTGACTTTGTCCCGTCTGTTTTTTCCTACTCAACCCAGTGTGAAGCAAACAAAGGCGATGCAAAACTTGAGAGGTAAATATTGTCACTTTCACCTCATTTAGTTGCTCACTGGGATCACATCATTACTCACCATCCATTCTCTGCATGCATTGAAGAGCAGGGAATTTATGGCCAGTAATTTAATGTCACATTATTTTTGCCAAGAGGATTTATTGGACCAGATCGTTTCTGTTATGTCTGCATTTTCTTGTTAAGTCCTTTGAGGGATTCTATGTGATTTACACTTGACTTCATTTGGGGAACTGATAGCCTCTGTGATCTACCAAGCAACTAAACTATTTTGGCCTGACTGCTTGCTCTCTTCTCTGAGTATCAGATTTAAGAGGAAAAGAACAAGAGAGGAAACCACACACAGACCAACAGATCACATCCACCTGTCCACAGAAGTTACAGATGAGGTTGCATCAGAATCCTCAGCCGCTTGCCTGTCCTCAGATGACTGCAGAATGGAGCCTGGTGCTGGTCCTTTCATCGGTAAGAACTTCTAACATTTTAACTAATGTAGGGCAGTCACTATTATGATGAATCAGGTCACCCTGTTTATACATTTTTCAATACAGCATAACTATGTTGTGAATAAAGTTGAAAATGATTCTGTTTAGCACATGCTGTCTGAAAATATACATTAAATAATAGAGAAAATCTAAGCTAAAACAAGTAACAGTGCATCTTTTAGAAGTCAACAACAATCTACTCTGTATTTCAGAAGCCACAGTCCCGAAGGTTCTCCATGATGAGCTGAAACTCAAGTACAGCCAACTTTCTGCAGAGTGTGTCAACCTGCGTTCAGAGATCAACAAACTGAAATCAGAGAAGGAGGAACTAAAGGAAACACTCAGAAAAACACAGTTTTCCTTTAGCTCTATCAAGAGCAAAGCGGTGCATGTTCTGTTTTTCACAGGTCTGACCAGTGTCATTTTTGAGTGGTTGATTCAGAAACTTAAAGGCAGTGTAGAGGTTGTGCGTAGCTCTATGAACCTAGAGGACCATCTATTAGTTACCCTAATGAAACTAAGATTAGGACTCAGCAACAAGGATATTGCTTTTAGATTTAATGTCACAGAATGTGACGTCTCGAAAATTTTGAGAAGTTGGCTCCCTGTCATGTCTGCGACTTTAAAACCTCTCATTAAGTGGCCAAGCAAGTATGCAATATTAAAGAATATGCCAAAATGTTTTAAACCTAAATATAAGCGTTGCAGGTGCATTATTGACTGCACAGAAATTTTTATAAACAGACCCACAAATTTAACCTCCAGAGCCCAGACGTACTCAACTTATAAAAGCCACAACACTGTAAAATATTTAGTTGGCATGTCACCTGCAGGAGCCATTACTTTTCTGTCGGCAGGTTGGGGCGGGCGTGTTTCCGATAAACAAATTACAGCAGAGTCTGGATTTTATGACCTTCTAGAGCATAATGATGAGATTCTAGCAGATCGTGGTTTTACCATCAGAGATGAGCTTGCCACACGCGGTGCCACCCTTAAGATCCCTCACTTTACCAAAGGTAGGAAGCAGCTCTCTGCTCAAGAAGTTGACACATCAAGGCGTTTGTCTAATGTGAGAATACACATTGAAAGAGTAATTGGTAGATGGAAAAACTTCAAAATTCTGACAACTGTTATTCCACTCACACAGGTTGACCTCTTAGATGACATGGTGATTGTGTGTGGAGCATTAACAAACCTCTGTAAATGCATAGTCCCAAGAAGATAACTTGGAGTGGTTAACTTTTTTTTTTTAATTATTATTTTTTAGGTGGTGGTGACCGCAACAAAACAGAGAAGGATCACTGAACAATTAAGTAAATTACATTAATAGACTATGAGTAATAATATACATATGTACATATAATATATATATATATAATAATTTTAACAATAACAACAAAAATGTAATTAATTTGAAAAAACAAAACAAACATATTAACAGTCCAAATGAAAATGTCAGAGAAAACAGTATTATCAAAACCAAACTGATATAGTGATAGCAGCCTTGCCAAGTAAAAAAAAGGGCAGACCCAAAACATAAATAAAATAGAAGAACAATTAATACAGATAATCAGATTTTCTGTATACATTTTTATAGTATATTTATTATTATTATATTAATGTATTTATAATTGATTATATTGGTAATAATTATTGCTGTACATTTTTTTTATTTGATTGTGCTTCGATGTAAAATACTAGTGTGTATTAAATAATTTGTTTCTATTTACACTTCATTCTGACTCATTAATTTTTGCACTGTTCACAGTACCACTCCACAACCTTTCTCCTTACTCTGGCGCATGTGTAGTGGAAATGGTTCTTGCACTTTGCACAGTCAATCATCATCCCAAAGTCTGGTCTTTCACAGTGTGGGCAGACTGTAGGTGCTTGCATCAGTGGATCCATGCGGCGCGTTAACAGCTCGGGCAAAACACACTGTTTGAAGAACACTTCAGCTTTCGGCAGGACTGCTTGCAGCATTTCTTCATCTCTGTTGATGCGATTGATAGTGACATCTTGCTTTGTCCACACTACGAAGTCACAGTACTGGATGTTGCATACAAACATGTGAAGTTGAACTTGATGATAGTATTTATGATTCCTCTTTAGGTGTAGTGCTTTGTCTAAGCAGAACTGTGTGTCCTCACTGCTTCCCATCAGACCATCACGGTATTTGTATGGACACTTAATCTCTACAGCTGCTTTCCCACAGCAGGTACAGTGTGCCATTCCATCCGGCGATGCCCCAAGATGTGGTTTGTCAGACCTCACAACAAGACCACAGAGTTCCACGTCAAAGTTGTGATGTTGTGTTTTCATTATTTCTGTGTATTGTCTCCTGGCTGTGTCCTCCATATCTCTTCCCCAAAGTACTGCTGGGACATGGGACAAGTCCTGATTGCTGTAGTGCATAACCTGTTTTACAAGGTTTGTTTTTGCCTTTTCGGTTTCTACAGTGCAGACACGATGTAGGGTTGTGCTTGTTATCCTGCCAGTTCTGTGTGTGTGCCAGGCCTGAGACTGGGACTGGTTTCTAGTTGTAAACTCAAGGTTCACACACTGCTCGTTAGTTAATTCTCGCCCCAGTTTTGCAAAGGTATCTTCACTTCTCTCTTGTATTTTATTTGGGCAGAGGCCTCTCAGAGTGACATCATACAGAGCTACCAGTGGCTCTGGCAGGTCTCCGGTCTCTGTGTCGGATTCGGATGCAGAATCAGTGTCACTGAAGTCCATGCTAGTAAGCACAGCTGCGTTAGGTGCCAAGACTTTCAGATCTGCTATGTCTTCATCTGTCAGCTCTAAATACACATTTATTTTAATACAAATTGCAACTACAGCTGGTTACATATGTTATGGTGCTGGTTATAACATTTTTATATGAATGACGTGATAGTAATGGCTTAATAAAAAGTTATAAATATAAGGTTATAAATATATTATGCTATGTCTTCATCTGTCAGCTCTAAATACACAATAAAATATAAGTTAGATAACTTATTTTAATACAAATTGCAACTACAGCTGGTTACATATGTTATAAATGGTACCTTGGTGCTGGTTATAACATTTTTATATGAATGACGTGATAGTAATGGCTTAAAAAAAGTTATAAATATAAGATTATAAATAGATCATTTATACCTGCTGTTAACTTGTTATATGTACATGGCCTGATCTTGTCTAAATTCAGATTGTGTCTACCTTTCACATTGTTCTTTCTACGCTTTGCTCTGGCTGGCTGCAGTTGGGTGTCTGTCCTCTTAGGCTTTCTGAAGCTGATCTTACTCAGTCTGGCTGGCTTCACCTCTCTCTTGGATGAGTGGAGCCACATATTTGTCCCTGAAGTACAACACTTCTCCGTCTTTCCCATCCTGACCCACAGCTCAACTTTAAACATAAGGGCAGCTGCATGGCTGCAGCATGACCCTAACCTGCACAAAATGATTTATTCCTAGCTATCTAATGAATGAAACACATTGGTGTAAGTGGTGCATTAGGCTATACATGTCAATAGCAGCTGTAAGATTTCAGCAAATAAGCAGTGAAATTGAGTTAGATTATCTTACTGACAAATACTGGGTTGGATAAATAATAATAAAATGTAATATTTCATAAATGTCTTATGTTACATACCCAGCCATACAGGTGCAGTTTGCAGTCAGAATACAGTTGTTGGTCTTGTTGACGATAACCCAGGCCTTGTACAACTCCGTCTTCTTACCCTGTCTTTGACTAGGCAGAACCTCCGTCTTAAGCACAACGAAGTTTTGAACTTTGTAATCATGAAGTTGTATGTCTTGGACATGACCACACAGAACAAAATTATAGGCATCAAGAGATTTGTACGCTTTCAACTTCTCCTGGGTATAAACACTTGGAGTGTCGATCAGGTAATTATATATTTCTGGCCACTGAATGCTTGGCCATTTCGTTTCGTCGTTTGACCATTGACAAGGCTCTATGGCAAACGGATCTGTAAGACGTATCCCACTCATTAAGGTAAGCTTAGCTGAATAACAGTTCTTATCGCTGGGCGACAAGCTGTTGTAGTACGCGGAGAACATTTTAAATATGTACCATCTAATCAATATAAAATGTAATGTTGATATCTAACTACTATGTGTATAACGTAACGTATTATTTTGCTAGCTAACTCCTCTCCCGCGCTCTCTCTTCTGCAACCATGTTGCGCGCGCATCCCGAATGTTTACAAACATATAATTGGCCTATTATAACCCTTAAAAAGCAGCACAATAATTTAGTTTCATATAAAAAAATAGACACACTGTAAGTCTAAAGCAGTGAGACTCACCACCCAGAATAGTGTTTTATTAGCCAGTGTTTGATACTCATCAATGGTGGACAGCACACTGAGGATCAGGCAAGAAAGCACAATGAGGAATCTGCAGGGGGAAAGGAAGAAATGTCAATATGCCATTTTAACATTTAAATACTAAAATGTGTGTGTGTGTGTGGTGCTGGTAAACCCTAGTTATGGGGACAAAATGCTTCCACAAAGATGTCAATATCCAAAATCTTTGTCCTCGTGGGGATATTTTTGGTCCCCATGAGGAAATCAGCTTAAAAATCATACTGATGATAGTGAGATTTCTTTTTATTTTATTTTTTTTGAAAATGTAAAAAAAAGTTTTCTGTGATGGGTAGGTTTAGGGTTAGGTGATAGAATATACAGTATGTACAGTATAGACATAATTATATCTAAGTCCCAAAAAAACATTGAAATTGTGTGTGAGAGAGAGAGTGAGAGAGAGAGAGAGTGTGTGTTTAAATAGATACTTTCTTCATCACTCTTTAGTTTAGGGTGCAATTCTTAACTAAATTCTTAACTAATTAACTACAACTTTTGTCTAAATAAACTTTTAATTACTGCTTATTGATAGTTAGTAAGTTGTTAAGTTTAGGTATGGGGTATAGATTACAGGTTGTAGATTATGGTCATGCAGAATAAGGCATTAATATGTGCTCTATAAGTACTAATAAACAGCCAATATCCTAGTAATATGCATGCTAATAAGCAACTAAGTTTAGGAAATGTATCTTTTCTCGGATTCACAGACTATAATAGTCTGTTCAAAGAAATCAGAACATGCCAAAAAAATATTCTATAAAGGGTTCAGTTTCTACACCCTTGCAGAATCTACAGTAATACTCTAGATTAAACACATCATGTGTACTCTCAGTTTAAACAAACAAAGTTGAGACAAAAAAAAAAAATGCTATTTTGGAGAGAAAAGAGAGTTTGTTCACAGACAACTATGCAAATAGTATATTCTCTGCTTTAAACTTGTTTATTTGTTTTAATTTAGTAATCATAATTGCCAACATAAAGTAATCATAATTTCCAACAGCATATGTAGGAGAAGACAAAAACAGTTTGTTGGTACATCAGGTGTGAAAGTCATCTACTGATTTAATTAGGAATACATTTAATCTTGTAATTAAAAATGTGTTTTAATCTTCTCTGAAATGCACATCGCTAATATGCAGCAACAGCTATTTCTCCGTGTTTGTTTTTGGCAATGATGCTTAACCCATTACAACTGCTCTATCAGCTCAATAATTCATCAGTCTGACTGCATTAACAATAAAAATGAAACACCAAGAGGTATGAAACCCAGCTGCCAGACAAACAGTGTCCAGCTGTTGCCTGTCATCACAAATTCAGAGGGAGGGACCAGAGATGTAGGTAAACATACACATATAACCGATGGCTGCCTGACAAATATCTATCTTATTATGTAATTATTACTACTGAATGACCTTGAACCTGACGCAAGCAGTCTGTGAGAGAAGTTACATGTCAATAAACACAAATAATTGTACAAATAACATGTACAATGCAACAAATAATTGATCCGCCTGCGGTTAGTCAGGGATAATAAACACAGCACAGCTCACAGCAATTAGAGATAAAATAAACAGAAAATAATCAGGGCAATGAGAAATCGTATTTTGAGGACTGGATCTAAACAGAATCAAATTTGCATGAGGCCATTTTAACTATTCATACCTGCAGAAATCACTGAAATTTATAATATTTGAGCAGTTTTGATAAATAATATTTGGAATCCCTATAAATATTTGCCTCTTCACTGGTGTCTCTTGTATGTAGCTGTATAGTAGTGTTCTGAAAATAAGTATTTATCAGCATTGTGCAGCATTCAGAATCAAATTCAGAATGCCTTTTAAATTCCAATTCAGTCCCAATATCATTTGAATTGAAGTAGCAAACATGATGCATAATTGAAATCCGAATTTGAGTGTAAGGATGTTAGGTTAAATTGAACACTGCATCTTGGGCAGATAGATAAGTGACTTACAATGCATTC